ACCTAAACGAACGTTCAGTGCAATTGTCAGTATACGTAAGAACGATGTTATTTAGACTTGACATTGTAACACATCTGAACTATTGTAGTTGTCATACTTCGATGTCGTACTTCATTTTTATGAAGTATTGTTTCCTCGTGGCTGTTAATTAACAGATGATTCCGGTACATCAATAGGCTGTTCAACTACTCGACGATTTACAACCTGTCCAGTTCAATTGGTGGTCTGACGACAATATCATTCGCGCGAATCACCAGTTTATGCAGTCGAGCGAATCTCCTGCAAACTGAAAACGATATTGTCGCCTCTATCCCAACACTGACAGCGTTTTTCACGGGTATCATTGACATGAGTCCAGAGTGACACTCTTGGTTTCTTATGTTCTTTTCGATATTTTTCTGTTCACTAAGCGAACAAACACGCAGCATTCACCGTTTATCATCTTTTAGAGACTTCATCGTGCCACTTTTGCTGTCGATTTGTAGCCTTCAACCCTTACTGACTGTAACAGCAGTCATCGACTTTTCAAACTGTGACTACATGTTGGTCAATAGCTTCGCACAACGAAATCACGACCACTCTTCACTGTTATACTTCTGTACTTACGGTTAGTCTGTTAGATATAGATATAACTAGAATTTGACACTAATTAATAGCTGTCAACGACACTGTTCGACTTACAACTTCAAACTAATGACAGTACAAATATGGATATCGATTGATAATACACTTATCCTACTATCGCTATAGCATCATTACTCTTGCGGCAGACTTAACGTTTGTCATCGGAGGAACTGAATTACTTGTCAAGGCTATATATTTCAGCGCGACTTGATAGAACAATAAAACGTTTTGTTCTTTTCATTATTTCTATGGTTAATCAATTTACGTTTAAGCAACGTCCTACTAACATATTATGACTCGCTGTTTCGCGACCAGTTTCTGCCGCCTCCTTTCTATTTGTCTTACAGATAAGCAATACCTGGAGGATTTATAATATTCGTCTGGCACTCTCCGGCGCGCGACTGCTCCCAACATGTTTGGTACCGATTCAAACGGCCGCTGAATCTGGTGGGGGAGTATTGTAGGGCCAGTGAAATGTCACTGAGCCCTAGCCAAATCATCCGGCAGTTGGATCACTGAATGTCGAACAGATCATCGCTCCCTGCCAAGGTCATGTACAAGAAACGCGCATTAGTTAATCATACGCCATGGACTGGCCCATGCGGCAGTGGTCTTACTTTCGCTTGTATCGACTTTAACTAATATATTTCTGTAATAACGTCCTTTGTGTTGTACAGTCTTCAAAGCATCTATAGTACCTTGTTACGTCAATGGGGGTAGTCCACGTAAGGTGCTGACCACGAGGTGTGACTTCGACGTTAGTTGGTTCGTCACACTATTCACGTCTAACTCGAGTAGGCCTCCAATCATTTCGACATAGATCATCTACGTTGGTGATCTACACCAACTTCGTTATCTAGATATTTAGCGCGTTTCGGGGTAAATGAATTCTATCCATAAGTGGTTTACAATACGCTCCGATCACACAAGAAGTTTCCTATCCATTCATGTACAGTACCTATTATTCCGAACCCCGAGAGCTTCTTGTGATGTTTGAATTAACTGATGATTCTTTTGTACTTGTTGAATGCTCGATTTCGGATTCTAAATACAATACATCCGTTTGTGCCTGTGTCTTCTTAATTGAATTGCGTTAATCCTGGAATTCCTAGTCCATACGACAATTAGAATACCATATTGGCGTCGCGATGGAGCCTGCAATGGAAAAGTTAGATATTCATTCAACTCCTGAAGATTTTGAGGATTATTTGGAAAGGTTCGAAATCTGGAGCATGACCAAGGAAGATGATGAGGATGTTAATATTGTGGCACGCTTTCTCACAATCATTGGGAGAGAAGCGTACAGCTTATTAAAAACTTTGGCATATCCAGAAAAACCTATCTCACTCCCTTATGCAACGCTTAAAATGCACCAGTTTTGAATGCCGTGAAAGGGCGAAGTTTCATAAGATGGTTCGTCAAAATGACCAAAAGGCTCGGGAATTCATCCTTCAATTACAGAAACAAGCTGTCAAGTGTAATTTCGGTGATCAACTTCATGTGCAACTGAGAGATCGATTAATTGCAGGAATTAACATACCGAGTTTGGAAAGAGAGCTGTTAAGAATGCTGAACTGTTCCTTTCAAGATGTTAGAACTGTATGTATTAACTACGAAGCAGTCAATGAACTTGATATCCAGTCGATGAAGATTTCTAATACTTTGCTTAGTCGTCGTGATGAACTACAATCTCAGGGTCAATCAAATTTGCGTTCATTTAACAGTGATTCCTATTCTCGTGTAAATATGAAAGGTGTTTCAACGAGGAATTACAAAGCAAATCACAAAGGTGAGATGAAGTTTGGTAAATGTTTATCATGTGGAAAGTTTCATGCTCGCAATCCATGTGTATTTCGTAATGCTAAATGTTTTAAATGTGGTAAGGTAGGACATATTCAGTCAGTATGCAATGCTACTGTCCATTTTGCTTCAAGCTGTACTAAATCTTGTAATTTAAATTTAAATAATTCGGATGTTTCTAATGATCATTTATCTTTATCAACGATTCCAAAAGACCGTGCAGAGTCATATGACAGTTCAGAGTTAGATGAAATCCAGAATTCTTGTGAGACAACAGTTCCTAATCAACCGATTTGTCAGAATTCTCATGCTATTGTACGAAGTATGACTTTTCCTAATGATTCACATATTTCTAATGAAATTACTTGCAGTATTGAGGAAAATATGTTAATCATGATCGGAAACCTGATGTGGTTTGGATAGATGCTGGTTTTTCTAACGATCCTACGCTCTGCAATGACAGTCCTAATGAATTTCATGAGAGTATTTCAGAAGAATCAAATCCTGATGTCATATCATGTATTACCTCTCCTCATAATGCATTTGATCCTTGTGAAAAACCTGCTCAATGCGAAGCACGAGTACTAAGTTACCTCGAGTTTGATTACATTTCGGATGATTTCATATCAACTGCTGTTTACCCTTATCACAAAAACAGTTCTTATGTTTACTCTAAACAATGTGAGAAGTATTTTTTAAATGAAGCCACATTATTCATAACTTGGGGATATAAAGATCCAACATTATTTCGTGGGGGAGGATAGGATTGAAAAATCTATGGTCCAAATTCTAGATGTTAATGATTTCAGTACAAAACCGATATGCTGATTGTATACAATTCCAGGTGAGTCTGTTCCGATTTCGTTTGTTAATTCCAATACTAATGAGCACTTTCTAGATACTACAAAGTTTTTATCTTATACAATATCGGACAGACTCAGGATGAAGTTAACAAGAAGACGTACAACCGATTACAAACACATACTTCTATTTAAGCTGTGGCGGATGTGGTGTTTGAATTAACTAATGATTCTTTTGTACTTGTTGAATGCTCGATTTCGAATTCTAAATACAATACATTCGTTTGTGCCTGTGTCTTCTTAATTGAACTGCGTTAATCCTGGAATTCCTAGTTCATACGACAATTAGTATACCATACTTCTGCATAGGACCTGAGTGTGAAACCGTGTCAAATGCTTTGCTAAAATCTATGAATATCATATCGACAGACAGATCGTTATCTGGGGCTGCTGTCCAATCCTCTCTCGCAATAAGTAAGTTAGCCAAGCATGAACGCTTGTTACGGAACCCATGTTGCCCGGGAGTTAAAAGATTGTGTGAATCTATGGCAACTAATCCAATCCATGAACTACTACAAAGATGATCGTGAGTTATGTTGTATGATTTTATGACATATTCTTGATCTTCTAATCCTATACGGAACCTGGATAGGCAGTTCACAAACTTAAACCTTAAATGTCACGTATTAAAATTCTCACGGTTTTTGACTCATTGTCAGAACTAATTTGCGCTTATGATCGAATGTGAAGTGAAACGTCATAAACAAGTATTCTAACCTGGGTACTTCCTTCTCAGACTACCCATAATCATTACATTCACACAGAAAGTAAATTGCTGAAGGGTATGAGATTTAAATACTTGTTTGTGGTGTTTCATTGCACGTATGGTCGTAAACGTAAATCCGAAGGTCTGTCAATGAATCAAAAACCATGAGAATTTTAATATGTGACATTTAAGGTTTAAGTTTGTGAACTGCCAATCCAGGTTCCGTATAAGATCGGAAGATCGAGAATGTCATAAAATCATACAGCATGACTCACAATCATCCTTGTGGTAGTTCATGGATGGTTTGTGATCCATGGACCAGGAAATTGTCGTCAGAATATGAAAATGGCGACTGCTTGTTCATGGTTGACTGTGGAAAGCATTATGGAGTGGATAATAAGCACTTGTGAGTGCAATTGTAGAATATTTGTTACGTGCCGATATCCTTGCCGCCATATGCTACTGGCATATATGTGAAAAGACGAACTCTTACAGGTAAGCATACTCAATTACGAAACATAAACTGTATTGCCCATCAACTTCTTGAGCATTGCAGTAGATGGAATTTAATTAATACGCACAACTTACAAAATAACATAACAGTGTCATTACTCAGACGGAGTGAAGAGTATATACAGACTCCACGACGCTAAAGAATGTACAGACAACACATTCAGAAATATGGTGAACAATTCGCGATGCAATTTGTGAAAAGTCAACCATTTTTACTTTGGAATAAGCAATAACTAGACAAGACGGCAGTTTCTCAAGCGCTCATCACTAATGCGGTTTGCAACCTAACAAAGTGCGAAGACGTTTGCGACAAAAGTCCTTTGCTGTTTTATTTTTGACTTCACTATATATACAACTTGTAAACTTATTTTTCTGCTTCAGTAGTAGCAATGAATCAATAAACCTTCGCACAATTTTTATTTTCTTCGTACTTTCATGGGGAGTTATGCCAAATGTCAACAGGTAACTGTTTATGAGAATTAAGAATAAATAAGTTTGCTTTATCAGTACTGTATATCACTGGATAGAAATCAGACCCTTATGTCTTTATTTATGATCTATACAATTCATCTGTAATGTAAAATAGTAACCCAGTTATTAGGAGGTTTCTTTATTTTCATTAGAAATGTCTTGTTGTGGTATACCAGTTGATGAACAAGTAGGACTAGTCGTAGTCGTGGAAGTGCCAATGTTGTTGCTGAACGTTGCAGCCGATGAAGCTGTATTAGTGTTCTCCATATTCAAAATAAGTCTATGAAGAGTGGTCGCTTCCCGAGCTTTAGTAAATTCTAAACAAAAAGTTCTCACTTCGATTAAGATATCCTGAAAAGTAAGAATACAAAGTATACCGAAAGCCAAGTATTTGTGAATCAAATGTAAATCAAGTTACACTGTTGCGACTGGTTTAAAAAGTCAACAAAACTTTTTTCAACGTAGAGATTGACTTAATTTGATGTCTACAAAACCAACGATGACAATCCACGGATATATTGAGACCTATATTGTTTTAAATTCCGATAAACAGTTTAATTTTATTCAGATATATGACCATTTTTACATTAAAAGCCGCTCAATGAATTGTGTTAGTCGCCTAAAACCCAGTTTGTAAACACAGTTTGATTCGAATTTGTCAGATATAGTGTAATTAGCTCAGTTTCCCTTTTGATGTATGAATTGTGTGACAGTATTAGGTCCCCTGGATTTTCCAAAACACCAACAAATACGATAACTAATCTCAGAACTTTCATCTTATTCCATCTTGAATTAAGCTACTAAATATGATTGCTTTGAGGTATTTGACCGTGTGGTATCACAGGGTCGACAACACAAAACCAACAGCTTGGCATAAAAATTTTTGTTAACATAAGATAATTAGCTTTTTCCTTTTATTTCTTGACGTGAAACCGAATGCTGTAGACTAACTACTCACAACCAATGTTTTAATTTTAATCCCACAACCAATATTTCACACAATGTGAAATGTATTTGTCATAAGTATACATGTAAGTACAAAATAAAGACAAATCGATGGGATAAGAATAATTTTAGGAAACTGGATAATCAAGTTTAGTGATACAGTAGTTTTAGAACATTCACGGATAAAATGCATAATCCAAACCTCTTAACGTAATTCACCTAGTACCATAACCTCAGACATGCTGCCATTTACATATAAGTAGATATTGATGAAGACTCGATTACTTCTCAGTATCATGTAACATTAGAATCAGCACAAAATATCCGTTTGTCTGAAAATACAATCCAATTCCTTTATCGCATAAAACATCAGTCATTAATGAACACCGAAATATCACCTTCATTACTTTCCATTAAATAAATATGAATATTTGACATCACTGAATTTAATTCGATTTTATTATAAATTAACAACAATTAGAAAACAAACAGAAACTCTACCTGATTATGAATATCCAATATGTTATTCCTGATAAGTGATTGTAGTAGTACACATACTAAACGAACATGTCTCATTTGATAAAATTTGTCATTTACTGAATAACAAAATGCTAAACAATTCGATATATAATCTTGTATAAACTCTGTAGGTAATGCAATTTTTGTAGATAGTCGATTTACCACTTCAATTGATTGTACAGTAACTTCCATTTTTAGCAGAGCATTTAAGTACCTTTATTTATTTTCAATAGAAAAATTACAACAATTATTTGCAATCAAAATAAAGAGGTTTATGTTCTGCCCAAATTTAATCAGTCAAGAAACAGAAAAAACGATTCACAAAACAAATAGTAACATTAACAGAGAACAGTTAAAATGAGTGATAGTGATCTATAGATATTGATATTGTATTATTATCCCAACAAAGTTATATTACCAGGTATATGTTCACAGGGTTTCCCAACAAACGTATAAAGACAAAAAAACTGATACGGAATACACAAGACAATACTTACATAATCACTTAGTTGAATTGAAAGGATAAGGAAAAGTGCGTCGTGAACACAGTTCACACATCTTTCAATTGCATAACTTCTAGATGACGAACAATAACTAAACTGTATATTTAACAATTACACTATAATAAGCATCGAAAAGATGAAAAGCTACAACCATATCAGTGAGTTATGACTTAGTGTGTTCAGATGGTTGACAGGGTAGCTTTATGGTAATCTCCAGATGTACGAATGTCTTCAAGCAGATATTTAAGCAACGCAAAGGCAAAAGTAAGGGTAGAAAGAAATTATTTAGAAACGTTTTAGTTAGTCAGTATATGATACTATATCAAGTCCTTAAGAGAGGCCAAATATATCAAATAAGCTGATGGTTTCGCATGATGTATCATCACTTTTTACCAATGTCCCCATTGGAAGAAACAATTGAGCATCATTACAAAACATTTATAACTTATATCCATACCATAAATACACCTCAAACAGTTGTCACAACTACGCACTAAGAATGTCTAGTTCAAATTAAACACTAAATTATACTGTCAAGCAGATGAAGTGATGATGGGCAATCCTTTGGCACCTGTTCTTGCCAACATATATGTTGCGAATTTGGAAAGAACAAAATTACTTACTGTCAACAACAAGAATACACACTGTGCAAGGTACGTCGACGATACTTTTGTTTTATGCAACGACGTAAATTACGCAAACAAAATACTTGAATTTTTTTCAAGAAAGTCCATACTAATATTAAACTTGAAGTTGAAGATTAAATAAATAGTGCGTTCCATTTCCTCGACTTAGATATTTCCAGAAGAAATGACGGAACTTTTCAAAAGCATATACGTCGAAAAACAATCTAGAGTGAGCAACACCTAAACTCTAACAGCTTAGACCCTATTGGATATAGATATGGGGTGATGAGAATGTTTTACCACAAAGCCAAAAAGTCACCCTCACCAGCAAAACTCGAGAGGGAGTATACAATAAAAACATTGTAAGAGGATGGATACCTTCAATCAAATTATAATTAACTATAGAACTGATTACCGAAGTAAGATGGACGAATATACACCTACTAAGAATGATTTTATTTGACCGTCACTGAAAGGTGATCGAATAACGGATAAAGATAATCAAGGACTAAAAGCAGCTTTAAAAATCACGTTCCGCACAGCGAAATTGACTTCACTAAACAGCAAACTATGTTAAATAATGCAAAAAAATGACAAATATCCATCATGTGTTACTTCAAACTGAATAAAATCATTGATATGTGCATGCAAAAGCCCGTATATTAGAAGGATAGGAAGACGGGTTTCTACTCGTTTTAATCAGTATGTTCCAAAGAATCTGTGAGTTCGGGTAGAAGGTTGCTTACGATGTTTACTAGCACGCCAACCACTAGGCACGGGGTACAATGTGAATTTAATGAATTATTAATAAACAATTTAATTCTACACTTTCGAAATCTGCAGGTCATAGAAATTAGAAGATTTATATCTGATCTTTTTATTTCAAAAGAGTCAGTCTTTAACCTCCAACTATCATAGTAATACTTTGACCCTTTTCTCAACTAATTGTAATCATAATCTAGTGAGTTGACCTTACACGTCTAGTTTTCCTTTCTAAACTTAAAAAAAAACATATCAACCAATAAAAATTATCTTAACATTCCGGAAATATTATGTTAAGTTATGGAAAGATGCCAGTTTTAAGACTTTCACTCTAAAGTTCTTTCACATTAAACACAAATTACTCACTATTGATTGACAATCCAGTTTTATTATTATGTTATCAACTGGAAATAATTAAACATATTAGCCTGTATGTAAGCTGAAGGGAGTTTGGTCAGTTTTAATCCTCAGCACAAAGAGTAAATACAAGCCACTATATATTTAACTGTTGAATTAAGTTCCTTGAACAAAAAAGTCAAGAAAATATAGGCTAAGGAAATTGCCAAAAAAACAACAGTTCTTGTGATCATAAGACATTTTCCCCGATTAACACACTAATTAACAACGGACTATGAAAAGAAGGATATCAAAATAGAATTATAAGAATTACGAACATGAAAATCGAATAGGAAACACTAAACAAATAGGGGAATTACAATTGAACACACACACACAAACAAACAAATCATAAAGGACTTACTCATCTCGTTTCGGTGATGTAATCAACAATTGTAAAACTTCAATAGCGATAACTGGGTTACGGTTAACGAAATTCGGTACCTTTAAAGATTCAGTGGTTTTATGGCCCAGTGGAAAAATAACGAAGGACAAGCAACAATATTAAAATCATATGATTATAAAACTATTCATTAAATCAATGAAGTTTGTATGCTAAGACTTCAAGAGCATCCCTACCAGCCATACCCGTCATAGAGAATTAAAGATACAGAACGTAATACAATTACATCTAGTAAAGTTGAATGGTGGCTAACAATAAAATTCAGGATGGGAATTTTATCCTATTTGAAACTAGTCAACTGGGTGAGGCCTACATCTCAGTGTTGATATTAACAACGAGACTCAAACGCAATAAATGATCCTTTAAACAACGTGTTGTCTATTTAGTGATTTTCATAAAATCCACTCAGAATGCGTCAGGGATGCTAGATCTCAAGAAATCACTTGATAAACATCTTATTTTTGCAATTTTATTTTGGAAATTTGAATTTCCCGTTTCTGCACCAAAAGCGCCCATTTTTACCTTCAGATTGTATTTCTCACTTGAAAGGGCTTTAAAAGTCATTGGTTCGTTTCCTCTTCTAATACGCTATTTTATGAGGTTTCTCAAGGACCTTTTTATACTGTATATATACACGCTTGAGTTGTGCGCTTGGTTCGTTTGTGCTTATGACTGCTTGTGGAATATACTATCCCTCAGCTGAACCTGGTCTTCTCCGCCCGGTTAGCAGGGCTGGGAGGCGATTTCAAAGTAAATATACATGTTGCTCATTTTATTTTAATAAAAAAGTTTACCTAGCAAAATATTTTTTATTGTTTAGATATCAAATATCAATAATGAATAGATAATGGCTATACATGGTAGCAAAGACATAAGGAGTAGGAAAAAATAAATCAGTACAATGCATATAAAATATATGAAGTACGTCCAACTATTACTATATTTGTCTAACTGAATTATTCATTTATCTCTATCGATAAATATGTTCATTTAAACTAATAAGCAAATGTAACAAATCTTAGGAATAAATTTCTATCTTTGTCACAGTTACCGTTAACAGTTAAGTAAACGCAGTTGTCATACTTCATTTGTGCAAATTATGGATGTTACTTGATTATTTAGAACAGTCAAAATAGTGAAATTCGGAATAACAACAGAGTAATAGTTGAAAGTCAACAGATTAAACCATTAAATATTTTAACCTGAGAAACTCGAACTGTGATAAACAAGAGTATGCTCTCTATTGGTCATTTGAAAACTAAGTTAAATATACAATCAATCAACTCTAGGCAGTAGAAAATATAGATTAGTATGATAAACTTACAATCTCTGGAGTGATACCAACATTATAGATAACATCTGGATTATCCTTAATTGCTTGAACAACAGTTTGTTGCTGCGACTGGGTTAAAGTCGATGTCATGGCTGCGGAAACCAAATGACGAAGCTAATGTTAAAAGACAAGAAACATAGTTTACGAAGACTATAAAATACAAATATCTGAAATACATATATTTGATATTAACCGCTTGATAAAGTACAGTTCACAATGAAGCAGACTAATTTCGACAAGATCACTATTTTATGAAGTCACAAGTGTGTAGGCCGTTAGTTTTGTGTAGTTGAAATGAGTGACCCCGTGTGATCGATAATACTATTTGAATCCAGTATATATATCATGGATCATTACATGGAAATATTCGAAATGTGTAAAAGGGTATAATCTGAGACTGATGTCTATAAATCATCAATAAATCAAACAGAAGCTATACAGAGTATAGTATTTAGTCAAGTAAACAGTCCTTCAGTATGAGGAGTATTATTAGACGCCTGAGAAATGACTACCATCAACAGTTATATGTTCTACTACAATCGCTATCGTAAATGTTTTGCAGTAAAATGCTCTACTACAAAAGTGGGTTTTTAACCTGAGCAGAAAAGAAATTTTAACCACTATATATATATATATATATATATATATATATATATATATATATATATATCTTAATCTTTGAAACCCAACCATCTTTGTGTGAACGCATACGTAACAAAATTCATGTATACTACTGCGTTAAGTAACTGAAGTTAGTAGGTTATGAAGCCAATCGTGAGAACAATCAGAAGTTACTATTTCAGACTCCTTCATATAAAAAATGATTTCCTTTATCTAAGTCTGAAATTTTGTGATCTACATAACAATCTGTAAACCAATATCCCAAATTATATCTAACAATCAATCACAAACGGGATCAGCGCTTTAGAAATTATAGTCCATCTTCTGATTTTACACATATCACTGCTATCACAGAGGACTCATCCAATTATCTTTAGAAGTCTTAGATTTCATTATAACTTGTCACCAGTGAACTCAAATGTAAGTACTGAAATAAATGCATCTGAGAATTTTAGTGATTCACAAGGTCTACTATCTTATTCTAATATCACCAAAAAAACTTGGTAAATCAAATCCCGGAAAAAACCCTGAAAGTCTGAGAAAAATCTGTGTGAAAGTTATTCTATGAAAACTGGTGAAAGCACCGTTTTGGCAGATTACCCAAATTATTATACTTGAATGAAAAGTACTCATATACATTTAACAAAAATTAATCCATTAACTAATTGGCAAAAAATGCTAAGTTGCATAAAAATGTTAACTAAAAATTCACCTCAACTGTTATATCAACAAGTTCCATACTGTTATTCCAATGGAAATCGTGCTCAACAATGTCTGGATTAAGCCAAATAAGTTCTTCTGACCAGCCATAAGTGGGTTTAGACTTCTTGATAGATCTTTTCTCTGAAGGACTAAAGTTTGAAACTGTACGACTGATGGATTCATTTTCTTCATCTAAACTGTATAAAATCTGATCAATTCCTTGGGGGCATGGTAACAAAGGTGGGGAAATACGAAGAAACTCTGGGAAGACATTATTGCGACCTATTAACAGTTCACTACGTAACAAAAGAGAATCTAAACATTGGCGTTGTAATTCAGATGTACCACATGAATCATCTGTGTTATGCAAGTGAAATGATGGCCTACAATAAAAATATAACATGAAATTCAAAGAATTATTCTCAGTTAATTTATTACCAAGTTATACATTTATGTATATAGTGACGGCAATAACAGAAGTACAGGCCAAGTTATTTTTATGTAATTTCTGTTATCAGGTTATTGTTGAACTGGCATCTAAAATACATTCACTGGTTAAAAGAAATATAAAACATTACATCATTATGAAATCTGAGTTTGTAAATATCACCCAAATTACCACAGAAGTGAGTTTTTTCAAGTTTCAAAAGGGGGGTTTGGAATACTAGAGCAAATAAACTTACTCAAAAGAACGTGGAATATCTTCATCAGGAACAATACAAACCATTCCAGAGTCAGCGAACTTCGAAACACGGCCAGATGATTTCAGTGAATTGGCTACTGGGACCAGATCCCAATCAAGCTACATTGAATGACAAGGAATAAAATAGAGATATAATGCTTTTCTAAATAACTTCCATTAAAAAATAGACAGCAAAACAGATACATATTCACACTCACTCTAATGTCAGTCGAAGGATACGGTAAATCAAATATCTGTGCTGGAGTATACTTTAGAAACTGTTCGTAAAAAGGATAAATTTTGAAGCATATTAATAAAACACACTGCCACATACATCATGGATTTGATCGGGTTGACGAAGAATTGTATGAAACATTGAAATTGCAGATCGCGGCAACTTGCAATGCACTTCATCCTGCTAGAATTTTGTACACAATTAAGGAATAGATATGCGAAACAAACTAACCATAAATGAAATTAAAAACTCTGTGAATGGATTGTTATTGATGGAAGAGTTATCTGATTTCCACAAGTCCCACAATAAATAAACAGCTGCAAAGTGAATTATTGCATCATGAAGGAAGTCATTTTGAAGGAGAAACATCTAAAAAGAGCAAACAATTAATACTTAAAGTATATTAACTAACTAAAACACGGCATAGTTTATATCGGTCTGATTTAGCGAATTGCTGTTGCGCTGCACTACTAATACCTTGTAGTGTTTGACGAGAAATCCGATCGGGATGAAGAAAGCTATCAAAGCAAGGAAAAGAAACAATACTTTAAATGCTTTTATCAATTGTTGTTATTCTCATTTTCCGAAAATAAAGATGTGCTCTAGTAGGGACAACGAAATATGTACTACATGAAGTGATGCGATGACATTTGAAAGGATGAGTTCGATAAGAAATCTGTTGATTGCATAGAGAAAAGGATAAAGTTTTCTGAAGGAAAAATGATACCAATATTTAAGTAGGTAAGAAAGGAGAATGACCGAACAGAAATTAGTAAATTTCGTTCCGTGACATTCAACAATGAGTAGAGCAGCTTGGTGTCACATCGTGTTTTAAAAAAATATTTGGGGTTATGTGGCGCAAAAATGAATACCAAAACATCACGAATAACTTTTGATTGATATAGCTGGGTTTCGCTGTTTATAATGTACTAAAGACTATGCTTGCAATAATATTAATCCCTTGTCGATGGCTAAACCTCTTGGTGAATCAAACAAATCTCAGATAAAACCACATATGTAAGTTATTAAACTCTACATCATACAAAGGGAAAAAGGACAGAAACAAGGAAACCTGGGGACAAAGCAGGACATTTGTTGCAAATGGAAGATAAACAAGTAGAAGGATGACCACAAACTAGTGAAGGATAAAGAAGAAATATCGATCTAGTTCACATTCGACATCCGTCAGTAAAAAAAATAAGTGTACGTTTCAATTCCACTAATTCTGCTTTATGCTTGTGAAACAGACTCTTCGAGTTAAGGATGCTAAGGAAACGTAATGCAAATAAAAATGAAACCTCTCGTCAATTTACTATTCAGACATCTATGCTGAATCTTTTTGTCGACATTATAACTTTGTTTTATTACGGAAAATATATATGGTAGTCTAAAACCATGAGTTTATTTGACCAGAAGCAGCATCCAAATCTAAGCCCCCAAATGCCCTGGTATGGCCGAGAGTGGGTAGGCCCTCCCTCCCTCCCTCTCGAAATGCTCTCACACGGCCACGCGTATACAGCCTCTGCCAGGGAAGTCCTACTCACTGCCTTCTCGTGGCGGAGGTGTTGTTTATGAAATTGAGAAGACGAAAAGCGAATGTCCGGCTCTTTAACCAGATTCCAAACCAATGGTGCATATGGGCTCCAGTATCCTGAAGGAACAAATGGCGTATGAACCAATCGTTGGTCACCAGCTGCCATGGGACTGCATCTCCTCTCACGACGCTCCACTGCCTTGTGGATCAGACCTTTAGGTCGATGGCTCCGGGTGTGGCCCCCTAAGAAAACCACCTGCTTCGGTCTGGGCACCTGGGCAGTATCCCAGCCCTCACACAAGTCGAATGATTTATGTGGCGCATATGTATTTGGTGCCTCCTTGTACCAATGTTTATGTGTTTAAATAAATAAATAAATGATAAATCCAAATCTAAAAGTTTAAGCTATTGATTTACACAAAAGCAAGACTTACTTTGATAATGCAATCACGTCCTTGTTGCTGATTGACATTCAAAAATATTCCATTCAATAACCGGGTCTAATTTTTCTTTAAAATAAAGTAAAATTCTTAACGTCGAAACAAGAAACGGAGACAAGCATCACTTACATCACATATTTCATACGATGCAGTGCAGAAAGATACAATTAGGTCCTTTTTATGTGAAATTACTTTATTTAGGTACGTTCTTAAGTTCTGAAGCCACGAACTAATCCTTGGACAACCCCTACTGGTCATTACAGAGTGGAAGAAGGCTAAGAACAGCCAAATAAATACAAACCCACATTGTTCATCACGACAAACAACCACAGTGAATAACGTTTATTTACCTACTTTCCAAACAGTGATCTGGAGATAATTACCAGACACACAGTAACTACCAGAAGTTATGAGACCCTTTAACCAATGTGTAGAGTTTTCACCCGCCTAGATGTTAATATATTCGTGAAATTGAATGCAGTGCCCATTAGACTGTAACTCAAGCATTCTACACAAACACCCATATCCTGTCCAGAAAATAGTGAACTGCTGTTGTGAATTGAGATTAGATTCGGTAATTTCTGAATACAAACTAGTGGAAGGTTTTTTCAATACACGACGGGATATATACGAACTGAGTAGGTTGTACGACTCATACAAATAACGCTTCAACAACCATCCCATAACTGATTGGAAAACAGAAAAGTTTTGTAAGGAAAGGTGTATTGATGTAAACCGAAGAAAATTAGATTACATCCAGGTTTATTCAATCATGTATCGACTAGTTAATGATTATTTACCATAAAGTTTATTAAACTGAGTAGTCATCACTTCTCACAAAATCACAGTGGTCCGGAATACAATAAAGACAAATTAAAACCAATTGACTAATATCATACTGAATATATGGTTTTAAAATTGATTTATTTCTGTGACAGTTGGAGATTCATCACCCCCAAGAGCTATTAGACAACGTTGGTTTCTGGGATTTTAAAGCGGTCGTATAGTGAGACTGGGTTAACTAAACTTGTTTATTTTATCGAAGGACTAGATAAGACCTAGTTATAGTTCTGAAGTGACTGAACAATATCTTAGCATTCGACAGGTGCTATTTGATCACAGGTATCTTAGGAATATTGCTTGCATTTGCTGGAATCACCTGGTAAGTAATAGTGAGATTAGACGCACAGTATTGGGGAATGATGGTAAATCAGTTGAGGTTGTGAATCTTCATCGAGTGAAATGGTTGAGCCACGTGTCACGTATGCCTGAACGCCAATTACCACGACGTGAAATGCTAACCGGTGTTGATGATGGTTGGAAGAAAGTTAGGGGCGATCAAACCAAAACGTGGCATCAGTCCTTTAAGTCACTAACTTCTGGTCTGAGCCATGTTGGTGGATGCAGACTACTTGGTTGGAGTCCACACGACTATTGTAACCAAAGGTTGGAGACTCTGAGTGACATTGCTCAGAATCGACCAAACTGGCGTAGGTTTATACACTCGTTGTTTCCCCTTAAACCGTGAGATTAAAATTGCTTTATACCTTTCTTTCTACAAACTAATTCTTTTTTCCTTTATTATATCCTTATACGCAATCTTTCTTTTATATATTGCTACTATTGAGTTAACTGCTTCTATGAATTCGGTGTTCATCTTGTTGTGCTAATGAAGTGTGGCAACTTGGACTGATGCATATGTTTCTGGTCCTACGATGTAGATGACTGACTAGCATCTGTCATGTCCTTATTTTACTTGTCATCCAGAACAAAAAACCAATAAGAACACTTTTAAAGAGTTCATAAAAGCAAAACTATTTGCTTTTTATCTGTTTACTTACTTTCCCATTGAAGCATTAAGTAAAGCTCTGTCTAAACACGTTTTCACAGCCACATTTATCCATACATTCAGTATCAGTGGTAACAGGAAAGATTAGGTATTGAAGGTGTAATTCGAGACAATATGAATTGTTGAAATGAAGACAAAAAATTTACGAACTCGTCTGAAAGAAGACAAAGAATAGACGCACTTGTACCTTTGCAAATGACTTCGAGCCGTGTCATTGAAAGACCCTAACGATTGGTTACGATTATCACGTGGACCTCAACCAGGCAGTTTAAACCTATTAATATGGTTCAGTCCGATTATTAGTGACTTCATGGACTGATGTCATGTTCTTGTTTGGCCGCACCCTGCTTCCTCCCAGCCTACTCCTACACCAGAAAACACCGACTGTCGAAGTAGGCAGTGTTCGGGGATACGTATTAACGGCACTTATTTTATTTGGTCAATCTGAGGTAATTTGCTCAAAAATATTTTTTTAAAAGTGCAACAGCATTTATAATCTCTTGCAGTGCATGTCATCGTAAAGGTTACCAAAGCATAAGTTATTTAATTTAGGATGTACAATAATCTATTACCTCCTGCAGTGGATATTTTCGAAGGTTGACGTGAGCCAGGCGAACCACTGCTGTTACTTAAAAGATAACATAAATCAGGTACACATAAACGGAGTACTACAACCGAAGGAACTCGATAATTTGCGATCAGTATGACCTACCTTGACCTTGTAGCACCGAACGACCTTGAAGGGTTAAAAATAAGGAAAGACACTCCACATGGTACAAATGGTTCAAATAGTTATGAACGGAATAAGAGAAGCTTTCACTTAACGGGCTTCCGTGTCTATCAGCAGTGGATCATCGATACTTCCAGGCAGAAACCTAGATATATTAACGATAAAAGAGGAAAAAGAAATTGATGAATCATAGTAAGATACTATCCTTAGTCCTTAAGAATATATCAAGTTTTCTCTTAAAGGACTCCTAGGATGCCGCTTGGGATAGCTCAACCGTCAGTGAATTTCAGTATTTGACAACTCTTAAGGAGTAGAAGTTGTATCTACAATACTTTATGCTGTGTTGTATCTGTAGGTGGCTAAGGGGATGCCTAGAAGTTTTTAGGAAGTCACCTTTGTGACTCTTGTACTTTAGTGAGTAAAGGTTCAGTGATTGGAGGCGCTCTTCATCAGAATTGAATTTGAGACCTCGAACTGATTTCGTTACTCGCCGTAGGATACGTTCCACAGTGTCCTTATCCTTTTGGAGTGAGGGAGGAAACACTATGTTTCCATACTCTAAATAGGGTCGAATTAAAATGTTGAAGATTATTTGAATTGGTCTTCCGTCTAACCGGGTGGAAATGTTCTTCAACGTTACCAGTGCAAGGTTTACTCGAAAATCTTTTTCGTCGCAGTTAGCGTAAGATTTCAACTCCTAGGGTACCACCACCCTAGATCTTTTTCAACATGGGATACCTCCGAAGAGGAGTTGCCTAAGTTTTATTCATAGTCTGCAACATGTATCTAATGGATTACTCTACACTTCTAAGCGTTAAAGGTTAGTCTGTTGTTGTTCGCCCAACTTTGAAATCGAGTTTGATACACCTAAAGTGCCACTTTATCCTCTTGGTTGCATACTTCCTTCCAGAGTTTCTCATCATCAGCAAAAAGCAATAAATCTGACGATAGCCGCCATGGAGGAGCCGTTCATATTAATCAAGAAAGGAAGAGGTCCTAGTAGTGAGCCCTAGTGGATCCCACCAAGACACTCCGTAGACTGAAAGTGAAGTTAGCCCTGACCTTAAAATGCTGATTCTAAGATACGAAGTGAACCAACCAATTAAAGGTGATTTGATACCTAATCGTTTGAGCTTATTGACAAAACATATATTATTAACCCTATCAAAAAGTTTTGAAAAATCAAGATATGTGACGTCAACCTCCCTCTTGCGGTCAAGGACGGTTGTCCATCTATCCACCACGACCAGCAGGTTGGTTGTACAAGAATGACCTTTCCTGTAATCATGCTGTTGGGGTGAAAAGAATTTTGTGGACAGTTATTTTTCGTGTAGACCGTTGGATATCAGGGGACTCCATGATTTTTAAGGGTGTTGAGAGAAGTGCTACCTGTAGGTAGCTTGAAGGTTCTTTGCGTTGACCTCCTTCAAAAATCGGTGTGATGTTGGAACATCACGCTAATCGGTGTCGCCAAGGATGAAGCTGAATCTCTCAGTATAGAAGAGCGGACCATATCAGGACCCGAAGTGTCTATTTTAGGTGCTGCAGTTTCCGGTACACCAAATCAGCGCTCAGGTTCACTTTAAAGAGTCTTGTTGGGTGTCAGGTGAGGCTCTCATCAATATGGTTATTATGAGTTGTCTGAAATGTTCAAATGTACTGTTCTGTCAGAGGGTCGGGGGCATCACCGTAGTTGTTGGTTGGGCCGTTAGGACCTAGCAGTTGGGAAACACCGGTTCTGGCTCGCCGAAGAGAGGCTGCATGGCGTAATATGATTCTTGGATTGAAGACAGATTTGTCGATAAGCTTTATCAGATACTGAAGCCTGTCTTCTCTTAGTGCCGATTTGCATATATCCCTTGCTTGTTTGAATCGCCTATGTGCTTCGTTGTTACAAGTTCATAAGTATTTCTTCCAGTAGTGCCTTTATAAGCTTATCAAACGAAGAGCATAGTTCTTGATGACTGTAGGTTACTTGTAAATTTTGGGGACCGTTTGCGGAACAGGCTGCTTTGTAGTGCATACGATAGTGTAGAGTAAAATTTCCCAATGAGCATCCACATCAAGTTGAGACTGAAGTGCCCGGTCCACCTGCCGTTGACTATCCTGTAAGGCAGACACACACAAACGTTTGAAATTCCAGCGTCTGTTGTTAATAGGATGTTTTAGCTCAGTTTCGCCCATAAAACTGGAGGCTATGGCGGCATGATCGCTTTTCCCTAGGGCATTGAGGATTGAGAGTTTGTCAATTAGGAATTCTTCGTTTGTAAATACCCTTTTTAAAGGCAACGGCGTCTGACTGTTTCTCCAATGGCTTGCTGAACTGACATTTTCGAATAATCACAGATCTTCAATGAGGTTGAAGAACCCACCTTCAGTGGAGTTGTCACCTCCAACGTATGTATGTTCAAAGATAGTGACCTTGAGAAGATTGAATTCTTCTAGAATCAGCATATGAGTGCATTCGAGACAAGTAGAGAGGGATAATCACTTCAGCATACTATTGTCAAACTTAATGTCAATAGAGGGCCTCCTGTAGATGAATCCAGCTAGACACCTCGAGGGATTAGACTATCTTACTGAGCACCACACAGATTCATCAAGACTGATAGACTCTTAGGTGTGCATCTTATGTACTTCCACTCCGCCCCAAATCCCTGGTTTTCTGTCGTTGGGAAACAAACACGCCAGTATTCAATATTCAATATCATTGTCACGAGATGGTATAAGCCAGTTGATTCATTCGCTCTCTCTTCCTCTTGTTTCGGTACAGTTCCATGCATTTGGTAATGTCCAATGGGTGGTAGTCAAGCCACTTGAGTGCAATAATTTTAATCAGTTCGATAGTTAACTGTGGACTTCTTTTATATTCCGAGTGAGTTCCTTTATCTCAAAGCAGTAGGGATCGTAGATACCAGCAGCTATCACATTACCAGAAAGGAGGCCAACCGGTTGTAATATTAAAAAATAAAGTGATAATTCGAGTTCCAGGAGAAGGGGGCAGTGACATGGTGGACTTCAATGTGGGGCTGTGCGTACATTTTGAACAGTCCTAAGAACAACTCTTGAGTAATTGACCCAAGTTGTCTACTCATTAACTGGAGAGTTGAGTTTGCCTTGGCTACATTCCCCGCGTATTTTAGACCGATTTCCGATCTCTTTGTAGTTACGAGCCAATGATCACGTACTACTACTACTACAAATAATAATAATAATAATAATAATAACAATAATTTGTTCTCAAATAACATCCTGTTACATGAGGCATGCCAGTTTACAGGCAAGATCAAATTATTACAGAACATAATCTTCACTATGGTGGGCTACTCAGTTAGTTTGATATTTTATAAGGTTCATTGGTCATAAAAGTATGAGGGATAATACTTCTCACGTATGAATGTAAATAGTATTGTAGTGAACAAGAACACGACTGGGGACAATCGAATGTATTTAGCACAAAAATTACAGACTATCTCAATAAAATCTGAATACCATAAAGTCAATCGTCAATTTACAAAATATCAATGCATCATATCAAACTGGACTGTTTCCGTTGCAAACACTAATCCATTGTCTCCCATTCCATTGTACATGCGTTTTCTTACAAATTCCATTGTGCAATCGCTTTTCCTTTCTTGATCTTCACCTCATCTTCTGCTGCCAGATATTACGTTTTAACTCGCGACATATACTACTTATATCAATATAAGTAGCACATACCACAGTATTAGTAAGACAAGTGTTGTCAATATGACAGTTGGCCCGCTTTATGGAGGTTGCGCTGAGACGTGCATCTGATAACCGGAATTCTGCGTGCTCGTATCACGTCTGGTTCACCAGTTCCGTGCCTGTAGGTAATCCTCGCTTTATTGATAGAAGAAACCAGACTACTGGAGAATAGGTCTTCATATAGATCGCGTGACAGTCACAATGGAGCCGGTGATTACCTGTACAAATACATAAAGCTTTTCAAAATGTAATACAAGATAATAGGAAATATAATGTCTATACAAAATAAGGAAGTGAATGGATACTTGAACTCTATTGTTTTGACATGCACTTAGTTATTTGAGGTCGATACTCAACTAACCAAGTAAAGCTGTTACAAATCCACGTAAATTTGAGAGCTTCTATAGACGTAGACTGTGTATCTCAATGGAACATCCGAGGCATTAATGATGGAGCGGGACAAAGTCACCCGTTTCCTCTTTCCTTCTTTAAAATCAATTCAATTTTCTTCTCAATTACACAGAACCTGATTTATTATTATTATTATTATTCTATTATTATTACTCTGTTTTTTCAAATATGGCAAATATAGTGCTAACATTATTGAAACTTGTATATTATTGCATTTTTGAAGAAACCCGAAATGGTTTCTTCACAACACTTATGTACCCATAAGATGTTTGTGAATAATAATAATATGCGTTATTGGTTACATATCTTTACAGGGCTGAAAAAGAGGGTAAACAAAAGAAAGGACAAGAAACAAAGCATACAACGTTCATGCATATTGAAAATGAGTCATTTGTGGTTAAATAGTGAAGGTATGACTACTTAGTCCAGTTTTCTGTTAATAAGATACTTTTTATGCAAGAGCATTCTAGTATGTTCAAGAAAACAGGTGGAAATATGGTGGAAATGGACAAAGAAATGTGTAAATGGACGTGGTTCAAAAAGAAGCTGAAAGTATAGGATTATGTGACGTTTTAAAATATAGTACTGAAAACAGTATTCTGATACGCAAATGGCTATCTCCCTTTTTTTATGGAAGCTATGTCAGCTCATTTTTATTTTTATTGACTTTAAAGGGTCATGATCGGGCTTCGTTTATAGCAAATTGTCTAGTTTAGCTTGTAATAGGATTACTGGATAGAAAGTAAAACCAGTTCAACGTCACAAAGACATTTTGTATAATAAATTAACATCGATACCACTGGTCCATGACAGTAC